TTAAAATAATGAAGTTGAGAAGCTGAGGTGGGAGGATCGCTTGAGTCCAGGAGTTGGAGGCTGCAGTGAGCTATCTATGATCATCCCACTGCTCTCCATCCAACTCCAGCCTGGGCAACAGAGCAAGACCCTGTCTCTAAAAATAACAAAATTTTAACAAATGAGTACGTGTAGCATATCATCAATCATTTTGTTTTATATCACTGGTGTTCTATGACAACTCTACAGCATAGTTTATTAAATTCTTGAACTAATAAGAACTATTATAAGGATATATAAATTGTTTTTAGTTTGGATACATTTACTACAAATAGTGAAAAGACAACTTCCTGTTACTTCGAGTTCATACTCATCAAATGACTGAAAATCTGGTATAAGGGGAAATCACTATACTTCCTGTATTTGAGAGAAATTAGTAACATAAATTAAAATTAAAGCAAACATTACATTAATAAGTAATAGGCTTGGAACATCTCCTAGGAGACAATAATTAAATATGACATCATATTATTTGATATTTCTATACAGATCTAAGTCCAACGTGGGCCTTATAAGAGTTTGTACATTAACTCTCTATCAAAGGTTTACCATACAATCCAATGCACTATCAAGATGTATAAGTGAAACAAGCATAATAGAGTAGAAAAATAATCAGTGTTTATTTAATTGCTCAGTCCTAAGTGGCAAATGTAAAGAAAATATTAAATTATGACAATTGAGGGAAAATTAATAGTTCTCAACCAGTTGTACATATACCTCAGAATTTTCCGAAGAGTTTTTTTTTTTTAATAGATTACCTTAAGCCCTACTCTAAGAGACTCTATTCTAGTAGGCCTAGGGTTGAGTTTGTGCCTCTGTATTTGTTGTAAAAACTTTCTTAGGTGATTCTGATGATCACAGCTGAGCAAGAATCACCTAGATAGGATAATCATTATAGACTGGATTCGGTAGAGCAAGTTCCATAAAGAATGGAGACCTCAGCTGCACCATGCCAGTTAAGATAGGCAGAGAAGAAAAGAGAAGGGCAAACCATTCCAGTCACCAGGAGAAGGTGTGCAAAAGCAGTGAAAATAAACTCATGAATGAGCCAGGTATCACTGGGGAGAGACTAGATTCTCTATTCTGCAAAAAATTCAACACATAAAGATGGTAGGGTGTCCACTGCATGTGGTAATTAAAAGGTGATTGCTGAGTTTTAAAAGTACAATTCAGTGGAGGATTGAATCCAGATTTAAGGGTTAGGAAATGAATAAATGATGAGGAATCAGGCAGTGGGTATTCACAGCACTCATTTGAGAATTTGGAGGTGAGAAAAAGTAGAAAAAAACGAGAAATAATGGAATTTAAATAGGAAGAGGAAGATCAAGAAATAGATTTTTTTTCCTTAGAGAAGAGAGCTTGAACATGTTTGTAGCCAGTGGAGAAGAATCCAATGGAAAAGAGGGGATATTTTACAATGAGGATACAATTAGGATTGGTATCTCCTAAATGTTTTTAATGCATGTGTTTAAGGACTAAAATAAATTACAGTGAGATTATACAAGTTTAATTAGAACTATAATCAGAGTAAATTAACGGGAATCACTGATTCGCCAAAAATGTCCAGGGCAGAAAGATTACAATAAAGACAAAGAAAGTCTCTACCAACTCTACCCGCTTGATTTTCTCCACTTAATCCCAGATCCACAAACTCTGTGGAAGTAATTCAGAATAGATGCAAAAATGGAATGGAAGAGCTTCAAGTAATAAGCTACAGACAAGTATGTAATATAATCTGGGCTAGAAGTGGAACTAAACTGTGTCACTGTTCGTCCACAAAGGAGCAGGTAACTGGTTAAAGTAAGTGCAATCTTTGGCCTCAAACCTCACTCACTCACTAACCTCACCTCACCTAACTCACCTAACTCACTAACCTAACAATTTTTTCCCTGGGGTGATCCCTTAAAAGTTTATGTACTAATAAACCAAAGCAGAGACATTTTTTTTTTTTGAGACAGAGTCTCACTTTGTCGCCCGGGGTAGTGTGTAGTGGCATGATCATAGCTCATTGGAACCTCAAACTCCTCCTGGGCTCAAGCAATCCTCCTGCCTCAGCCTCCTGGGTAGCTGGGATTACAGACATGCGCCACCATGCCTGGCTCATTTTTCTATTTTTTTGTAGAGATGGGGTCTTACTCTTGCCCAGGCTGGTCTTGAAACTCCTGGCATCAAGCAATCCTCCCACTTCGACCTCCCAAAGTGCTGGGATTACAGGCATGAGTCACCTGGCCAGGCCCAGACAATTTTTTTTTAATCTAGGTATAATAAGGAAATTGGCTTGGTTGGATTACGATAACTATGATTTTTGGAAAAGGTTTAGCAACTCAGAATTGCTAGGTCAATAGCAACCAATCTTAATAGGGTGTGACCTGATGGAAATAATCCTTGAGCAAGATTACTCTGTCAGTTAAGGGTAGAATGAAAGGACTAGAGTGGATAAAAGAATACAGACCTATAAAGCTGTTGTTATTCTTTTAATGTGAGGAGGTGAGGGCCATAGACAAATTGATAATGTGTGTTGAATTTTATGTCATTGGACATACATTCTAATTAATGATTTGAGGATAACAGTAGAGTACTGGGCTATTTTTTATAGAATGGTGTTACTTTGCTTTCCTAACTTGTATCATAGTTACAAATATCAAAGCACTGTCACATTTTATTTCATTTGTCCTCATAGAAACTTTCTGTGATTGACAGTATGGAAGTTATTATGCCAGGTTGAGCAAAGAGATAACTGAGATACTGACCAGTTTTAGAAGTCAACTCATTGAACAAATGTGTGAATGCCTACTAGATAACTCTAACTAGAACAGCAGTTCTTAGTGGGGTTATAGATCTTATTTAGTTATTAGTAGTTATTAGTTCAGGAGGTTAGTAGCAGTAGTTCTAGTTAAGGTTGTACATCTTGCTAATGCCTGAGCCAGAGTTAGAATCTTTGATCCTGGTTGTTGATGGAAACATATCCACATTGAATGTATTTGTGGCTGCTCTTCATAAGGCCAGTTGCATACAAAACCCATAAAGCAAGTCTTGGTAAATATATATGCTGGGGTGTACCAAAAAATATAAGCCTATTGGATATGGCTTATAAAAGATTTTGTGTTTGTCAAGTGTCATGTCTTACGTATTTTTATGGAGCAAGATGATGTACATGTTTTTAAGATACCTTTGTATACAGATTAAAGGTTAAGACTTAATTATATAACCCACAGGGCCACTTGCATACAAAACCCGTAATGCAAATCTTGGTAAATATATATGAGGGAGTGTACCAAAAAACATAAGCCTATTGGGTATGGCTTATAAAAAAAGATTTTGTGTTTGTTAAGTGTCATGTCTCACATATTTTTATGGAGCAAGATGATGTACATGTTTTTAAGATACCTTTGTATATGGATTAAAGGTTAAGACTTCTTAATTATATAACCCACAAAGTGCAAAGCATGTGTTAGCAACCATGATAAAACATAGTATTTTACGAAGTAATTTTAAATTTAATAGCTGTATGGTTTGATTTCTTTGCATTCTTTAAAGGATTTGTAAGCAAATAAATAAATGCTTTATACCTCAGTCACAAAGACGTCAGAAAATGAATTCCAGACAGGAGCTCAGAGTTCAGATAAAACTCTTGAAATTGTAGAAAAAATAAAAACTGAACTCTAATTTGGTCAAATTTCATTTTGAAACAGAGGCTCTCAAGTGTGCTGTCATTTCTGGAATGTAAAAGAAGTTATTTTCTACATTGTCTAGTCAGTGTTTTTTTCATAAAAATTATGCTTACTTTAGAATGGGTTTAAGAGATTTGTTCTTTTGACAGGTATACCTTCAGTATGTTCAAGTTACAGATGGAGCCAGTCTTTTAATTTTTTTAGGATCTACTTGACTTGATTACTTCATATTAGGTTTAAAACTCCAGGCATGCAGACATATGCACATAGGCACTTACACACACATATCCAGTTTCCAATTTTTGAATTTTAAAACAGTATGTTTATAGTTATTATTACAGGTACATTAACAATGACTAGGGAAAATAAGGTGCGAAAATTGTTTCCTCTATATCAAGTCCCAATATTACAAGCAAGTCACGTTTGGAAATCTTTACATAGCGCTGTAAAGAGCTTCCATGGTCCCTGTCCACATGGCCTTCCTGCTCTGCCAGGATGGAGCCTCTCTCTATCCACACTGCTGATGTGGTCAGACTAGTCAAGTGACTGCAGAAAAGGCACATTCCTTAGTCAACCTTTTGGGTCTGCCCTCTGTCCTTGAGTCATAGCTGTTGGCTTTAGATGCCACGGCAAGTGAGTCTTGAACCCTACAGCATAAACAGGACACCAGCGTCTGATAACTCATAAACCGAACAATTAAGGCTGCTCCACCGCAGAGCTCCTTTTTGAGTGGTGAGCGAGCTATCAGCCAAAGCCATAAAGAAGCAGATCTTTATTCCGACTTAGGGTGACACCTCACAGGTGTTTCTAACTTTCCTCCCTAACTGGATGGGAAACCTGAACCAGGTGTGCTTTGGCAGGGTTACTTGGGCCAGTCACCTCCAAGTGGAAACTGGGGTGACATCTTCAGATGAAAACACCGAACCTGTACTGCCAATGGAGGGTCCCTAAATTCACATCCTCGGCCCCGCGTTCCACTCGGAAAGCCCTGGAACTAGTTGGCCCTGACCCGTTGCAGCAACAGCTCCAATTCAAAGAAGCCAGAAGACAAGGCGGCAACGGCGCGCCGCTTCCCGCGTCTTCTAGGCCGCGCGCTGAAATCAAACGCTACGCCGGCTCGTTAGGGGCCGGGCCCCGCGCACTCCGCCGCCTCAGCCGGCCCAGCCGCGGCCGCCGCCCGCCCCGCCGCCGAGCAGGGCGGGGCGCCGCGAGGCAGCGGGCTGAGGCCAGCTGAGGAGGAGGAAGAGACGGCGGCGGCGCGCTCTGCGCAGGCGCGCGGCGCCCCGCCTCCCCAGCGTCGGCTCCCCGGCTGGCGGCTCGGGCCCTCCCACTCTCCCCCGCGCCGCCTCACGGCCCCGGCCCTCGCTTCACCCCGACGCCCCGGCTTGCGCCTCCTCCTGCCGGCCTGCAGGCCCGCGGCCTCCGCCTGCTTCCCCGCCGCTGCTTTTCGCGGCCCCGCTCGCGTTCACGCTGACTCCCGGGCCGGCGCGGCCGCGGGCAACCGCTCCCCCTCCCACACCTACCCCGCCCCCTCCCCGCCTTTTCCGCCCTCCCGTCCCCCTCCCCCGGCCCGCTGCCGCTGCTCCAGATGAGGTGATGGCAACGGCCAACTTCGGCAAGATCCAGATTGGGATTTACGTGGAGATCAAGCGGAGCGATGGTGAGCCACGCCGCCGGCCCCGCGTTCGGATGTGCGCCGGGAGGACGCGGGCGCCGGCCGCCTCATTGATTGCTTCGCCGGGCTGTGGGGGCGGGAAGGCGGCGGCCGCGGCGCTTTTGTGTGTGGTGTGTGCGAGTGTGGCCGGCGTGGGGTCCGCCTGGGCGCCGCCGCAGCGCCGGGGGCCAGGCCGCGGAAGAGGCCGGGTGGGGAAGGGGGCCCGGTGTCGCGGGCCGCGTCCCTGGGGGCTAGGGGCGGGCGCGGTGGACGGTTCCGGGGCGGGGGGCCCTAGCTCCTCCCGCGATCTCCATCTCCCCGGGGACCCCGGCCCGGGAAGGAGCGGGCTTCGTTAGGGATGACCCTGCCTCGCGCTTCGCCCCAGCGTTTTCATTTTACCAGCCTCATCTCTAACGGGTATAGGGTGAGGGAGTGTGAAGACCAGTGATTTCAATGTTGAGAGAATTGACTACCGGTCAGGGGCCGAGGTGGGGGAAAGGGCCAATCCCTTTGCTTAAAACTGCTGTCTGGTTGTCAGGCCTCGCCGGCTTTCGTCCTCTAGCATGCTTCTTTCCCTTTTGCCAGTCCCTTCCTTGGGAGGATGTAGAGAATGTCGCGCTTAGCCATGAATAAGGGCGGGGGAGCAATGGGTAGAAATATTCGATAAGCTTCTCCAAGGTGCCGAGACCGTAAGGGGAAGGAGAGAGGATGAACATAGTCAATGCGAGGCACTACTGAGAGTGGGGGTGGGCGACCGGATGTTGATATTTTCACACCCTCGGGAGAGGTAACTGAGAAAAGTGTAAGGCGAGGTGAAGACACATGCTTCATTTTTTTAAAAAAAGGAGCCTTTGGCTTATGTATCTTTCTGTATGTTTCTCTTGGGGAAAATGTTTTATGTCACTAGCTTGGGGTGTGGAGGGAGATACGCCAGCCTGGCTTGAAAATATATTGTAAAAGAAAATGCACGGAGGGAGATAAGTAAAATTTATTTTCTTTCAATTCTAATAGTGAAAGAACTAGTGATATGTATATAGAGTTGTGCAGTGTTCTTGATTCCATCACTGTTATACCCATTCCTTTTATTTATTTATTTATTTTTTACCTTTTGGCGTAGTTAGTAGTAACATTGCTATCATTTCTGTGCACTCTTGGTTTCTACCAAGTTTGGCCAAGTTATGTGAGGCTAGATTGGCTTTCATGTTATCTATATGATATACTGGAAGACCCTACATAACTAATGATTTTTTTTTCCTTGATTGTATTTAAGGTAATTTATGGTAACAACTGGAAGCATCATTGTCCTGTATATGAAAAGATAAATTATACCACTTAGAGCTTTGGAAGTTACCAGTAACACTAGTGGAAAAGATGTCTTCTTGGGTTGGGATTTCTTTTATATTTTCTCTTCAAATTGTTTTCTTGAAAGAGGGCTGTTAATGTCGTGTCTTGATTAGGTGAATGTGGGTTCATTGTATGACAATGACAAAATCCTACTTATGACAAAAGTAGGATTTGCATATTAAAAATTTTGAGTGCATAGCAACCCCTCTTCTGGGTATATACCCAAGGAGATAAAATCACTGTCTTGTAAAGATATCTGCAGTCCCATGTTCATCGCAGCATTACTCACAATAGCCAAGATATGGAAACAACCTAAATGTCCAGTAAGGGACAAACAGCTAAAGAAAACGTGGCATATATACTATGCAGTATTATTCAGCCGTAAAAAAGGAGATCTTGACATTTATCACAACATGGATAGACCTAGAGGAAATTACGCTGAGTAAAATAAGCCAGACTCAGAAAGAAAAATATTGTATGAATTCACTTACATGTAGGATATGCTTTAAAAGGATCTCAAATACACAGAAAGAATGAAACAGTAGTTACCGCAGGTGTGTGGAATGGAGTAGATGTAGGTCAAAGGACAAAATAGCGGATATATAGGATGAACAGGTTTGGAGATACATGAGGATTAAAGTTAATAAAATCGTATTTGGAATTTTTGTTAAATAAGTAGATTTTAACAGTTCTTACAGTAAAAATAATTATGTGAAATAATAGCTGTGTTAATCTGCTTTACTCTAGTTACCATTTTACTATTTATATATAGCCTGCTATGTTATGTTGTAAACCTCAAATATACACAATCAAATTTATTTTAAAAAATTTGGGGTGCAGGCCAGGCGCTGTGGCTCACGCCTGTAATCCTAGCTCTTGGGAGGCCGAGGCGGGCGGATTGCTTAAGGTCAGGAGTTCAAAACCAGCCTGAGCAAGAGCGAGACCCCGTCTCTACTATAAATAGAAAGAAATTAATTGGCCAACTGATATATATATAAAAAATTAGCCGGGCATGGTGGCACATGCCTGTAGTCCCAGCTACCCGGGAGGCTGAGGCAGAAGGATCACTCAAGCCTAGGAGATTGAGGTTGCTGTGAGCTAGGCTGACGCCATGGCACTCACTCTAGCCTGGGCAACAAAGCGAGACTCTGTCTCAAAAAAAAAAAAAAATTTGGGGTGCAATAAAACCTGTAGGTTCTTTACGTTATTATAATCCTTTAACTGTAATTATAGGTATTAACTGTGAAATATTATTAGAAAAAAACAGTATATGAAATTCTAGAGCTTTATACATTTTAATTTTTACCAAGCTAGCATCTTTTACTTAAACATATTGAAGCAGTTTTGGTTCTTTTCAGTTTTCTAGGATATGGAACTCTTTCAACCTTCACCTTCGGCCTATACCAGAAATTCCCAGACATACAAGAGCTTTGTGTCCTTACATAAGTGCTAGTAACCTATAACCATGTTTCAAAAGCAGTTTGCCCATAAGAAATTATAGAAATCATTACAATGTGGTGTTATTTGCCTCAGATACATGATGGAAGTTGTGGAAGGCAAAAGATAAGTAAAGAACTTTAACGGAATGATCATTTGCATTGGATGGTGGTGTTTCACAGTAGAAATTGATGTCTGGGAGACTCCCCTCAAGCTTTCCGTTTTTCATTTTAAAGAAGCTTCTTTGCTTCCTCCCACTTAAATAGCAGATCTGTATTGAATAAAAACACTAGTGGTTATTATAACAAAAATAAACTTTGTAGTTGGATGAACACTAATGTAATATCTGAGGCAGTAGAAATGACATGAGTGATAAAGGGCTGCTTCAGACTGTTTATTAACTGGTGACTTGATGTTTTTCTGTATATGCTAATTGTGATCCTTGTCTCTATTTCAAACCATGCTTTTTCTGTCGGTGATGCTCATATATTAATGCACATATTCCAAGGGCAAATAAGTAAACTAAAATGGGCTTATTCCTAATCTTTCAAGACCCTGCTAAAAGACTAATCCTAATAAGTCTTTGCTGATTACCAAAACCAGATGGCCAGTCAGTCTCTAAATTCCTAAGTCACTCTTTATCATTTATGAGACAGGGTATTTAAGTATCAATGTATTGATGTTTGGGTACATAACTCTTAAATGTTATGTTTTTATTTTTTTATTTTTTTTTCTGATACCAGAACAAAGTCCAACATTAAATGTTATATTTTTAAACTGCACTGGGGAAGGGGTGGTGTGAAGTATGCAATGGAGGGATGTCATGCTACCTGCACGCACTTCAACCAAAGCTAATGTGTTACAGGATTAAAACACTAATAAACTCTTAAGTTCTCTGAATTCATCTGTGTATCATCCCCTCCCCCCCACCTCCAGGTGCCTAGCAGAGTTCTTGCATATTGTTTTTGAGTGAATCATACATTATTGGATTTTTGGTTTTCAGACATTTTAGATGAACTCTTACCAGGAAGTGAAACTCTTCCATCTATAGTCATTCTGTATGGCTGGCCTTCTATTTCCCACTGGCCTCTTAGTTCAGGATCTCCAGAGTTGATTGAAACTGAGTGATCTGCTAAAGCTAATTTGACTTTTCTGGTATTCTACCCTTATAAGTGGTAGGGGTTAGGCTTGGACTCCTGAGTTTGTTCTCTGCTATAGGAGATAACCTAGTATGCAGTTGGACTGGTTTATGAAAATCGACAGTCATGTATATTTTCTTGTATGTGTCTTTCTATTTTCTTTCTGATTTGATTCCTTTTTAGAACTCAGTGACTCTAGAAAACTATAGTCTTACTATTCTGTAGCTAGTTTTTTTTATTGATAGTTTTTTTTCCCCCAAGCTGTACTATTATCTACTTAGTTCTACTTAGCTGTGTACTTATTAGTAGTACTTATTATCTACTAAGTTCTACTTAGCTGTGACTTCCCTTTGGAGACTGGGGGAGAGATGAGAAATGTTGAATATTTGAAGCTGCAGCTTCCAAATTGTTCTTTGTTGGTAGTATTGTTACTTGGTGTCTGTTAGTCACAAGATTGATATATGTGATCTGAAGAGAATTTTAGAATATTTCCACTAGTTGTCATTTTTATAAATGTGGAAACTGAGTCCCAAGTCATCATAAGTGATTTATCTAGATTCATATAGCTTGTCAGTGGCAGCCAGGAACCTGTCTTGCTCAGCATAGAAACCAGACTGTCTATCAAGAACTATGACAGTAAAGGAAGAATTCTGTTATTTTGGAACCATATCTAGCTTTCTACAGCCTGATCAAGATATAGGAAATTGTTTCTCACTTATGGCAAAGGCACTAGAGAGCAGTGTTACAGAGCATGATTGGAATGATCCCTGGTAAAAAGTAATATGGTAAGGTTACTACAAGTTCACAAAACCTAAAGTTGTGGGAGGAAGATATTCTTGTTTCTTAAAAACATTGGTGAAAAATATGCCTTGATTAAGCATCTGAAATCCAGAGGAAAGAGAATATTTCAAAGGACCCATCAGGAATTTTTGGAGTTTAGGGCAGGTAATCTTTAGAAAGGATTTTTTTTTTTTTTTGAGACAGAGTCTCACTTTGTTGCCCAGGCTAGAGTGAGTGCCATGGCGTCAGCCTGGCTCACAGCAACCTCAGTCTCCGGGGCTCAGTGATCCTACTGCCTCAGCCTCC